CTTTTGGGATTTCGTAGACTTTGCTCTCTTTCTGCTTCTACTAGGGAATGGCCACTAGAATACTTCTACATGTATATGTATACTCTATACATATCATATACATTCACATATGTCTCTCTAGTAGATTTGTCTATAGACTACCGTACGTATTTTGGTGCGACTGCATATCGTAGCGACGCAAGGAGTGTGCAAGTATTTATTTTCCTTTGTGATTGTCAACTTGTCAAGAGTGTAAAAAAAAAATATCTCTGTTTTTATTTAATATTAATTTTCATAGTCCCCTAAATTGTACTTGCCTGAGTGCCAGACATCCTACATATTCCTGCATATTTCTTTTGGGTTTAAGGTTTTGTACCAACTCCCCATACAAATTCGATATTATGATGCTACAGGATCCGATATTTTGGTTTTTGATTCATTTTTTTTCAGACTTGTAATCCAATCAATACGACTAATTAGATTCTGAGCTTTAATTTCAGGCAAATCGGTTAACGCACAGCTTTTAAAACATATGTACCGTTCACGGTACAAATCCTTTCTCGAGAACTAACGAAACGATCCTTCTGAAATTAAAGCTACGTTTTTAATTAGTTTCACAGCGGGCATTCCAGTTCTTAAAACCCCGAATAAACTGGTTCAAAATTCGTAATCGGACCCAAAAAAAATATTATTCTTTTTAGGAGGCTATAAATATGTTGATTTCAGATTATTTCGGAACTCAGGAGAAGGCTATGTTGTTGTTTTTTTATTATGAAAAATGTATTTGGATCTATACTATTTTCAATTGTTTTACAATTGTTTATGTACAGTTCCCAACTTCCGTATTTTTTGCTGGGTTCTATAGTAATTTAAACAAACAAAACAACAACCTGTTATTTACAGTACTCGGAGTCGGGGCTCAGGCCTAATCACGTCATGCTCTACTAGGTATAACCATTGAAATTTGAAAGTTAAACGCTAAATCTATTTATATTTACGTCTTTAAAAAAAACAGTTTAAATATATAAAAATAACCCGTACATAAATTGACCAGGCTTTTGGTTGGCAGTCAGTGGAGTTGAAGGTCAGTCTCATATTTATTTACGTGTCAACCAACGGTCGAAAACGTTTTTAAAGAGACTGGAGCAGCCCTGGGCCTAGAATTCTGGTCAGTGCTTCGGCTTCAGACCTCAGGCCAAGCTCATTACTTTATGAGGTCATGGGATAGAAGTGAACGTAAACGCATATTTATTTAGATTCGAAGCGCCTACCTAAGTTTTTATAGGACTGGTTTGTATGGTGACATTGGCACATACTTATAATGTTAGACCCACAAGGTACATCTGTTAGCATACAAAGGACCGCATTTGGAATCAAAGTTGAGCGTAAACGTATATTTATTCGATTTATAAAAATTTATCGGAACCCCGTTTGAGGTTAGCCCTCAGGCCTCAGTTCCACAGTGGTCACTGGTCAGTGGTCACTCTGGAGTCCACTCTCTCTACTAAAATAGTATTAAATGCATTACAATAAAAAAGCATTTTTCTGATCTTTTAAAAACATTATGGAGGCAATAAAAATAAAAACCTAGCCTTCTAAAAATCTAAATAATAAAAGTAAATAAATATATAAAATATTGGTCTCTTTTATTAGGGATATCTGCGACTGACTCGTTCTCAACTTCTCTCAGACTCTCAGACTCTCAGACTCTCAGACTCTCAGACTCTCAGACTCTCAGACTCTCAGACTCTCAGACTCTCAGACTCTCAGACTCTCAGACTCTCAGACTCTCAGACTCTCAGGGCCTCAGCTGAGTCAGCACTCGGCAGTCAGCACACACAGAGAGTGAGAGTAAAAAGAGAGAGAAATAACGAGAGAAAGAAACAGAGAGAGACAATGTTAAAAAAAAACGATAGTATTATGCCCGTGGAGGCGTGGACTGTGGGGAGTTGGAGACGTAGCCTTTTTTATTTTTTTAAAAATAGAACAGGCCCTAAAATGGATATTTATATTCCTATGTACGAAGATTTTTGATGCGAAAGCAAATTGACCACGACAAGACGACAATTGAGAGATATATGCCCATCAACTTGTGCGAGTTCGAAATGTGTTCTGGGAGCCTAGTGGACCATATTTGGTTATTTCTGTCAACTTGTACAATTATTGGTCCGGTTGGAATTTCCGACCAGCAGCTGTCTATAGTGATTAAAACTTGTGGCAAATTCTCTGGTGGCGGCTGGACCTCTGAGGAGGACTTCCGAAGGACCGAAGCTGGAAGCCCACAGCAGATGAAAAGAGAAAATCCTACATATATGTGCAACACAATACCAAGACAAACATAGTGAGTACCAATCCCGTTCGATGAACTCATAATTTGAGCATCATGGATAAAAACGAATCAACTACTGATCTCATCCTTGACGATGATGTTTTAGAGGTAGAGCAGCCAGAGCGCCGTGAATGGAAGAACCCCATGGTTAGCGTCGCCTCGTTCTTTTTACTAACGGATTTATTTGAGCGTTTCGCATACTACTCGATGACTGGATCTTTAATCACGTTCTTCACGCGGGAGTTGGGACTGGAAACCAACTTGGCTACACAAATTCAATCCACTTTTCAATCGGTTGTATACGTAGCTCCCCTAGCTGGAGCTTACCTTGCCGATGCTACACTGGGTCGTTTCAAGACACTGCTTTATGCTTACGTTCTGTACGTGGTTGGTGCAGTTGTGATGACTATTGCATCTATTCCATCATTCAATAACTCCGTTCTATATTTTATCGGATTAATCGCCTTGTTCGGTGTTGGTTCTGGAGCAATCAAGCCTAATCTGATCGTCCTTGGTGGTGATCAGTTTGACGAAACCATCGAAAAGCAGCTTGCGCAGAAGACATCCTACTTTAGTTATTTCTACTGGTGCACGGTATGTCGAATCTTCGCAGGTTCCGATTTAGTTTTGTGCCTCTACTATGTGATATGATTAATTCGACGGGATTTTTATTTTACTACCTCGCTAATCCTACTCTATAAAATATTGTCGCTTCACCGCAGAACATTGCCGCATTCGTCGCATTCTCCATCATGGGAGGACTTGCCACTCAGGGTATGGGCGCTATCCCTCAAGACTCTTCATTCTTCTGGTCATTCGCAATCAGTACCGTCGCCTTGATAGCCTCCGTGGGTGCCTTCCTATTGGGTTCTGGCCGATACTACAAACCAGTCCCCGCCGGTTCAGCTCTCCCAACGTTCATGCGCGTGGTCGGATCTGGAGCAAAACATACAACTAAAGGAAAGATAGTTGTTATCTCATTCATCTTTGAGTTGGTGGGTATGCTGGTGACAATCGTATCCTTTTTCATTAGCACTGCTTGGGTCTCCTACCTAGCTGCAGCCTTTATCGTAATCGGTGTGCTTGGTCTTGTCGGTTTTGGACGTACCACTGAATGGCTCGAGACTGCCCGTGACGATGGCCATGCGGACGACAGTGTGGACGATGCCAGAGCTGTGATGCGCATGATGCCCTACGTTGCGTTCATTGTTATCTTCTGGTGCGTTTACAATCAAATGAATGGAAATTTCCAGGCTCAGGGTTGCCAGATGAACGACTACGCTATGGGGTACAAGTGGGCTCCCTCGCAGTTGTCTCTATTCAATACACTTGGTTGTCTAATCTTCATTCCCATTTGTGATGCGCTTCTATACCCCGGAATGAACAAGTGCTGGCCGGCAACCTCATTGCGTCGTGTCGGAATCGGATTCGGAGTATGTGTTGTTGCTATGTTGAACGCTGGCTTTGTAGAAATGGCCCGTAAGTCAGCCACTGTGATGAGTGGACCTGATGGCGTATCTTCGTGCTCGCCCTGTAATTTGACCACTAAGCCTTGCGGTACAGGAGAAACAATCAAGTACATGAGTGATATTTCCATCTTAGTACAGATTCCTCAATACTTCATCGTGGGAGTGGCCGAAGTGTTCACAGCCGTTACATACTATGATCTGTTCTACACTGAGGTACCTGATTCCATGCGCGCCGTATGTCAAGCTATCAATATGTTGACCACTTCCCTTGGTACTATGGTTGGTGGAACTATCAATTCCGTACTCAGCGACTGGTTGCCTAATGATCTTAACAATGGACATATGGATTTGGTGTATTTTGTGATCGCCGGTCTAGGTATTGTCAACTTGGCAGTATTCATGCTAGTTTCCCCTGGATTCGTTTACAAGCACGAATCTGCCGCCGATGACGAGTCGGTGGCCGAAGATGCCGTCAACAAGTCCAGACGTGCATCCGCGCACTCTCTACACCAGTAGATAATGAATAAATGTTAGTTGCTCGCACTAATTGGAGTTGAATAAAATAATATAACCGAACAAAAAAGTATATCCTCCTGTACGGGAAAACCCCCTCCCGGATTTGATTGATTATTTTTTATAGCCTTCTTGACAGACATATTGTGGTATAAACTCACATTCAAGGGTTGTTTGTATTTGAGTATTCTTAAATATGTGCCCGTAGTAGAATGGTTAGCAATTAATCATAGTAGAATGTTATAGTTGTGGACGATGTGGATATAGACGGAAAACAAATTGCTATATTTTCAAACATATGTAGCCCCTCTACCTCTATTCTTAAATATGTGCCCGTAGTAGAATGGTTAGCAATTAATCATAGTAGAATGTTATAGTTGTGGACGATGTGGATATAGACGGAAAACAAATTGCTATATTTTCAAACATATGTAGCCCCTCTACCTCTATTCATATGTATCTGTAGTAGAATGGTTAGCAATTAATCACAGTAGAATGTTATAGTTGTGGACGATGTGGATATAGACGGAAAACAAATTGCTATATTTTCAAACATATGTAGCCCCTCTACCTCTCACATTGGCTATATTTGTTTGCAGTCATAAACTGATAGCTCTAAAACCGGAGCGGCTGCATGCATGGGGTTGCCGCTTGTTAACCTAAAGAGACCAAATGCGGTAGCTGGACCGAAATAAAGGTAATGGAACATTTTATGACCGTTAGAAAGGCAACCAAACATATTATATGTTCAATTGCGTATATTTCGGAGTTCTTTAAATATGAAGCTGTTTCATTAGAGTATACGAGACTAAACTCATTGACGTGGCTTGCCGTACTCGTTGGCCGTCACATAGGTTCATCGAAGAATTTAATATAGATATATATAATGTTGGCCAAATTTTCTGCCCCTTTGCTTTACCAATGTCTTAGCTCACCACCAGCACCTACACAGGTAATACTTTAATATTCCACACTGAATACTAAATTTGGCAAAATAAATACATAATCGAGTTTATAACAAAACTATTTTATTTGAAATCAGTGTAATTTTTCGGATGAAATACGCGTGGGTAGAAATCGAGAAACACCTTGATCTGGAAGATACATATTATGCTAAATACTATGTGTATTTACATACACATGATGAATAACCCGGCAAATGGAACACTATTTACAACGAATAACCTGTCAAATGGAACATTATATACAGATAAGAATCGACCTACCCACTATGGAAAATCATCCCGCGTTAGAAGGCCAAATATGTCCCAGAGACCCAGACCCCCAGGCCACTTTGAAATAAACGGATTCTTTTCATTTCTTAAAACGTTGCAACGTATAACGCTATGAGGTAGCCAGGGCCCAGTCCGGGAATCGATGGTTTCAGAGAGAGCCTCTAGACTCGAGTCCAGACTGGTTTAGGTACTTTAGACGGTAAAAATGTAAGAATTTCGCTTTCACGCTTTCACGAATTGCATAGAAACGTAAATACACTCGACGTTATGAGACCTGGTCCAGAGTCCAGTCCAGAGTCCAGAATTTCAGTGTCAGTGAGTCAGAGTCCAGACTCCAGACTCTTCAGTGACCGCTGACCAGAGACCAGTGATCAGTCATCAGGCACTGCCAAGCCAGTCACCAGTTCACCACTCACCAGACAGGCAGACACCAGTGACCAGAGGGCAGAAGGCCACACCGCCACAGGCCAGACTCACTGAGGCTGAGGTTTGAGATTTGAACTTCTGAACTTCTGAACTTCTGAACTTCTGAACTTCTGAACTTCTGAACTTCTGAACTTCTGAACTTCTGAACTTCTGAACTTCTGAACTTCTGAACTTCTGAACTTCTGAACTTCTGAACTTCTGAACTTCTGAACTTCTGAACTTCTGAACTTCTGAACTTCTGAACTTCTGAACTTCTGAATTTCTGAAGTCTGAAGTCTGAGTCTCAGAGCCAGGGCTCACAACGTAACCCATATACAGCGTTAACGTACTACGTTTCCACGTTTACGATATGATTATAAACGTAATTACGTTTACGTTAAGAGACCTGTTCTGAGCCCTGAGAGGATGAGCCTCTGAGTCTGAGGACTGAGACTCTGTCTGCACTCTGAGGCCGCTGGCCGGGTCATTGACTCGTGGAATTCCCGCGAAAAAGAAAAAGCCCGCCAAATCAGAAGCTTCACGGTAAATACATAGCGCTGGGCGCGTCCATCTTTTTTACTAAACATATATTTATTTATTTTTATATGTACACTTGTACATATAAATTTACGGGTAGCCGTGTAGCTAGCATCACAACTGCAACTGAGCCAACATAGACATACACTTGCACACGTACGATAAGATCTACAATTGCTATACATCATGGCGGCACCAGCTATGTTTGCCAGTACGGCTGCGAATGCGGGTAAAAAACGAACAAGAGTGGACCCACAACAACAGCCTTGGGTGGAGAAATACCGTCCTAAAAGCATCGAGGACGTGCTACACCAGGACGAGGTAAATATTTTGAAAGTTCTTTATTTATACGAGGATAATCACACACACACACTTATATTTATATATATATATATATATATATCTTTATATATATA